AGTTGCAAATTCTTTCTGAGCACAGATTTTTCTCCTTAAATGTATGCGTTGGAAAGCATTGAGAATAAGTATTACACTGCATCAAAATAACATTTCTGTCAAGATTGTTAGGTTTACAGCTTAAATCCTTGTCCATACATTTTCTTTCCTGCATACATAACCAATTTTATCATGTCTTCATAAAATGTGAAATCCATTACGAGCTCCAGAGAGCTGGAGCCTTCTATTTCATAGGAGACCAGCAGCATGGCAAACAGCCGCACACCCCTCTTCATATCGCTGTCTCATTCACTTGTAGGAATACCATCTGCAAAGAGCTGCAATCCCCTCTTCTCCCAGTCCTTGACCTCTCGAATGTGCTCGTGTCTCAACTGGCAACCTGTCCGGTAGGACGCTCACAGGGCGCTTACACACAGACCACCTGATAGCCATAAGATAGTAATGTTCCCGTTTCTCGAGCCAGATCGAGCATGTGACTGAAGAGTGAAATGCTTAGCAGCCCACTGATAATCTCTTGAGCCTCCCAGTTGTTCATGCACTTCTGTTCAGTCCATCTTCGAGAGAGTCGAGGTGAGGCTTCCACACACAGATTTACATGAAGGTATTTCCAGCACTGTCCCCACACAAGCACCTTCTACTGTACTCTCCTACTTTTCTGAGTATATGGTGCCTGCCTTGTTTTTAGGTTGTTTCTTTATTTTTATTTGGAGAGGAGATTTACTTCAGTACTCTTAGGGAATCAACAAACCTAGCTATTGAAGAGACAGTGTGGCCGAAACACTTATTCTTTTAGGGAAATCAGAATTTTTTCCATTTACAAACTTCCCCAAGCCTGGGTGAAAACGCTCAGCTTACCAAAGAGGTCTTCTGCAAACATTGCTCTTCCAGTAAAACTTCAATTTTTCTATTGACAACAAACAGCAATGTTGGTCAGTTTCTACTGACCCAATCTAGCACCATGTAGTTTATTAAACTTCCCAAACACATAGACTAATATCAAAGAATACTATTTTGGCTTGTCATTTCAGGCCAGTAACTGCCATCTATAACCAAGGGACTTCATTTGATATACAGATGAGTCCTGGATTGTGTGGAGAAAAAGCTCTTCAACACTAAAATCATGCCAACATAGTGATGTTGACAGGCATAGTGATGCAGACAGCACCTAGACTAGCACCTGCCTTGAACACGTAAGGAGCACACAGGTACCACCCTGGGGAGACCAGGAGCAGTGGTATAGGGTCCAGTGTGGCAGTCTTCAGACAGGTACAGTGTGCACATTATGCTGGACTTCAGCTCCTCGGCTTCAGGAGCTCTCCTGCCCCAAACTTGTTGTTTCTCATTTCACTACACCTTCTTGTTTAAGAGATTGTTCAAAGCCAATATACAGCATCATTAATGTTTATGAAAAATAAAATACTCTTCAGAAGCACAAAAAATGTGGAAGCAGATCTATAACATCAGAAGAAATACAGATTGTACAATAACTATTTAGCTACTGTGTGTAACTGCAGACTTTATTGCGCTTTTTTTATTTTTATTATTACTCTATTTCCAGAAAAAAAAAAAAAAAGAACAACTAATTAAGTTGCTCAGAATGAAGCCCATTGGATTTGAATCTCGTGTTCTACTTTTAATATACAAACAGGAATGAGTTGGTCAAGGGACAAGGACAAAGCAAGCAGAAGACAAGTTCTTTAACAAAATCTAAGTGTTTCTTAAAATGCAGATGTAAACACTGATGGAAAAAAAATCTTTTGTTAAATCTCCACAAAATCACTGTAGTTATTTTTGCAAGAATTACATTTAAAATTATAAACCACATTAAGTAAAGAAGGGCTTCAACTGTAATGACTCACATTACATGAAACACTGATAACACAGGTCAAGATTTACATTTTTCTTTTCAGCATATTTTAACAAATGTAATCTCACAAAGGAAGCATGGAGCATAAAAATTCTGTAACTTCAGCCATCATTGGTACTATATGATTAATATTAATGTTCTATTAATATATAGCGATATAAATTGGAATGGAATTTCAAGGCACAATGCTTATTTTTATTAATGGCATTCTATTACCAGAAGTTTTAGTATTCTCAACCTACTGTATCTTGGCTTTATCTCCAAAAAAAAAGCAACACTACTAAAATTTCATACAACAAAGTGTTAAACAATTTATGCCACGTTTTTGAATTCCAACCTGAAATTCAGGGAGTTAAGGAGGAAAAAATATTCTAAATTCTTCTATGCAGCCACTAAAAAGGCTTACATCCACTAAATAAAGTTGGCCATGACTGCTAAAACTGAGAAACGCAATGTGGAGACTAGAGTATAGCAAGAAGGAAATGAAATTTTTGCAGTTCCTTGCAATAACATATATGGATATAGGTGTTAGGATAGTAACTCTGTGCCCTCTTCCTTTTAATATACATGAGCTATCCAGCAAGAAGCCAAAGAAAAGATATATGAAAAAGACTTCTCTTAGCTCACTTGCTGGGACCACTCTTTTGATGAGAGGATGATGGACATCCCAGCTTTGCTACAACCCACAGAGTAGCAGAAGCAGCAGCACAGGTAAGGAAAGGTCCTAATGTGAAGAAAAATTCTTCAGTTCCACAGCAGGAGGAGCTACTTCTCACAAAACTGCTTTTACTAGCAGGTCCAATATAGTCAACGGAGTATAAGTGTGCATTTGCATTTCTCACCTGGGCACCCTTGCCCAAGTTACCATGCAGCACAAAGTGGGTGTTTGGTAACAGCCAGGTGTAAGGAATTTCTAGTTTTTCCTTTAGTTAGTCTTCATACCCTAAATAATTTTGAAAGTGTTCTGCACTAACTCATGGCTCCTTACACACACAGAATTCCCTCCAATTCCCCATTTTAGCTTGGAAGGAATGTAGGATCAGCCCTTGAAAGTTCTTATTCAACAGAGGCTTGAAAACCCTTAGAAGTGTAACAGACACTCTCTAAAAAGAGACGTCTATCTCCCCCTCTATCCTCTTGCCCCAGGATGTGATACTCATGAATTTAGCTACTTCAAGTCTCAAGCATGGAATCAGCTCCAATCTTGCTACCCCACATAGCTGCCGTCTGTCAAATTATTCAGACTGGGAGAGCTGGAACCCGCTGGCAGTATCTGTTATTTAGCTAATGGATACATTTAGCCTATGAAACTTTAAGGACAATTCAGATATGTTTTTCTGTATTGGTTAAGAGAGAAATGATCTCTTTAACGATGTCTCAACAGCTATCAGACCACTTAGACTCACCAAGACGCTATGCAAAGGAAGTCTGCACAGAAGCCTCTCAGCCCTAACTTCTAGATAGCTCAATGAAAGAAGCAGTAGGTGATAACCTGTAGGATTTTCTTTTTCTTCAAGATCCCTTACAGCCCTTGCAGATTTGTCCCATCATGCAGTGAGGAAAATGCTAAATATACATGAAGGATAGTAATATACAGAGGATGAGTCTTAACTACTCCTCCATTCTCAAAAAAAAAAAAAAAAAGTCTTTTACAGTTGTAGGAACTGGTATTTTACAAGACATTTATTATCACAAATTCATTTGAGCTTTGTCATCATACCTGGCTAATGCATCTGAAAAAGTTCAGGCTTCGTTTTGAGTAAAATTAAAAATGTCTATAGAGAAGTGATACTGCCTAGAAGGTTTCCTGCAGCTTAAGGCTGAGTTAAAAGCTTTTATTTATACTGTATCTCTAGCAATCTCTTCTTCCGTAGATAGGCCAAGTTCCTTGCCAGTGCCCTACTTTAAGCCGCAAGAGAGGGGTTCTTTCAGGCAATCCTAGCTGGACACTCACTTAGCTCAACACAGACTCACCAACAAAGTACCGTAACTTCTCACACTCTAACTCTGTTTCTGGTTTCCCTAAGTGTCAGATCCTTGCGAAGCTGGGTTATGCGCCGTATCAAGCCTGTTTAGGGGGAGGGGACAGGAGAAAGGGGAAGACAGCTCACTGTACGTCAAAGCAAGCCAGCAACCTAGCAACCATATATTAAAAGGTGTGTGTGTTTTTGTGGGTGTCTGTGTGCCAGGAATAACTGAAGCAGATATTATTCCATTTGTAATCCAAAAAATGTGAAAAGGGAAGGGGAGAAACTCCAGCTGCTGGTCTATTTTGGGGTCTGTCAAAATCCACTTTCACAAATACAGAGTCTTAACGCTTTCTATCCCATTTGTCTTAAACAAAAATGGAAGTCTGGACCTGAGTGGATTCTTAGCCTCGGCTTGAAGTGTCTCCTTCAAACCAGAAGGCAACCTCATTTCACGTACCACAATTTCTTCCAGCTGGTAATATGCAAAAATTGAAATAGTTGAGAGGTTGCCGCAAAAATTTTGCAACTGGATTAGAGGAATACTGACCTAATGTCTTTCCTGGGAATTCATGGTACACCTCTAGATATCAACACTTAATTCATGAGAAAGGTATGTAAGAGATTCTGAGGGAATGGAACTAGCTTTGACAAGATTTACTTGAGTGAGAAATTTCCCTTCTTAATCTTCCCCAAGTTTCTCACACTGTAGGAGAATCAAGAGTTTAGCTTGGCACGAACGCGTTCCCACCCTACGCGATCTCAGGGGTTGCACACCAACTTCTGAACCACACTGTCCCAACGTGCCAGCGCGCACATCGCCAAGTGGTTGATCTGGTCCCAGGCGCACCCTCAGTGCCACCAGACCAAGACCTATGTGCACCCCTGTGAGGGCTGTAAGGCACAGAAGAGGCTGAGGGGCACCTGTCTGGGCTGCATCCAGTGCCTTGCTCCCCAGCCACGCTCTCCACATTGCCCCAGGCGACCCCACTGGAGCAGCACGCTGTCAGCCTACGCCAGCCCTGTGGCACCTCCTGCGCTGCCACCTCGCTGAGGTGTCCCGGGATACAAGGCTGGACTCCTACTCCCCCTCCTCACTACCACCACCGCACCAGACCAGCAACAGCAGCAGGAAGGGAAGGGGAAGGGAAGGAGTGGTGAGTTACCTTGCTTTTGACCCCGCAGTGGCAGCAGACAGTCCACAGGTACTTGAGGGTCCTCCACAGCAGGATGATAAACAGTCCCCCAAAGAAAGTGACCATGGATGAGGCGAGGAAAGCCCACCACATGCGCTGTCCGCGGCTATCGCAGGGCACCTCCATGGTCACCGGGATGATGAGCGCATCCATCTTGGGCACATTGACGGGGGAGGAGGACGAGTCTGTGTTGAGATTGTTGGCGTTGATATTGTTACTCATTCTAAGGCCGCCGCCGCCGCCGCTGCCGCCCGGGTAGGAGCCGCCGCCGCCGCCGCTGCCATTTGCCATAGCTAACAGCGAGCCGGGCGCGCAGAGGCTTCCGAGAGCTCCTCCCGCCGCCAGCGCCCCCCAAAAAACCCATCACCAGCCATATTGCTGCCGCCGCCGCCGCTGCTCAGCGGGAAAAGGAAAATGAGAATAACAGCAACAAAACGCCAAATCAAAACAAACGACCCGACCGAAAAAAAAAAAAAAAAGGAAAAAAATAATAAAGAAAAACGACCGCAACAATCCCCGGGTCCCTCTCGGGAGCCGACAGGCCGGTGAATTCCGAGCGTCCTCCTTGCACGGCGAAAATAATATCAACAAAAAATTAAAAATAATAATGGAAAGGTAGTCCGCTCCTCCGACTCCCACCCTTTCCTTCTCCCGCAAACACGGCCCCCACCCCGCCCACCCCCCCGCAAAAAAAAAAAAAAAAATCAGCCACCACCACCACCACAGACTGATGCCTCGGAGCGTCTCTCCAAGCTACCCAGCGCTGCAACCCCGCTGGCCTCCGCGGGGACCGCTCAGCCTCCGCCGCGGATCTTCCTGGAGGTGGTCTGTTATTATTGTTATTAGTCTTTAACTTGTTATTAGCGATACTCAGTCCCCCCCCCGCGCACCCTCCTCCTCCTCCTCCTCTTCCAAGTCCAGCCCCTTCCTCTCGTCTTCCCCCCTCGGTGCCGGCGGCAGCCTCCTGTGGCTCCTAATTCATCCTCCGCTGGCCCAGCCGTGCGTGTGCCGCCTCCTCCTCTTCGCCCATCCTCCAGGAGCTCCCTCCGGGCCGCAGGCTGCCGCTCCCCCCGGTACCCCCCCACGGGCGGAGAGAGGCGCCGCCGCCTCCCGCCCCTCCCTCCCGGGGGGAGGCGGCGATGGAGGCCGGGGGGCTCCGGCTTCGGGGGGCTCCTGGCCCCCCGCGGGGCCGCCGAGGCAGCGGCCGGGAAACGGGGCTGCTGCCGGGGGGGGCGGCGAGGCGGTGCCCGAGATGCTGCCGCTCCGAGGCGTCCCCCCGGCCCGGGCGGGCTCCGCAGCCGCGGAGGGGCGGGGGCCGTGACGCGGGGAACGCCCGGCGCTGCTCCCCCCAGCGCTGCTCCCCCCCACCCCCCCCACACACACACCCCGGAGCCCAGCTCCCACCCGAGCTGCTCCCCCCGGAGCTGGACATGGCCGGGCCGGGGGCAGCGAAAGGGGACGAGGGCGAGCGACAGCGGGGGGGGGGGGGGGGGCGCGGGAGGCGGGTAAGTTGCAGCAGCAGGTGCCCGGGGATGCGGGAACGGGAGGGGGGATGCTGCTGCGGGCAGGCTTTGGAGGAAGCGGGGAGCGAATACATGGGTATCGGGGATTTTTATTTTTATTATTATGTTTCATTTCTGGAATTGACACGGGGAAACGTGGCGATCGCGCCGCGAGTTGCTGCACATCGCCAGAACGTTCCTGAAATTAACCCTTAGGGATTAAAGCAGCGATTTGCAGGGGCACGCTTTGAGGAGGAGGGGGAGAGAGGGAATCCAGGGAGAAAATCTAAGAGGGGGAGGAATCCAGCAAGAGAATCTGGGTAGTTGTCTCCTGCATTTCTATTCATGTATCCACTGTAAAATTTGAGATTAATCATTTATTTTATAAAATCTCCCCTTGGCACATGGTCTGATCACCGGTTGCCTGCACCCAGTATGGTGCAGATCCTCTTTTCACCCTTCCCTGGTGAAATGCAAAAGCCAGCGTTTGTGGCGTTTCCCCACCTGATCCACTCACTGCTCATGCACAGGGCCACCATGATGAAGCAATCATCTGTTTAACCTTTGCCAGCAGTAGTCCCTGTTTTGGCATCTGCCACAGGTCTGTTTATTTTTGTTTTTTAGTTAAGTGATGGTAATGAGATTTTATGAGTTCTCAGGGCTTTTTATGGGTCTAGCTAAACCTCTCACCTCCACTTTTTTATGTAATTGCAACACCATTTGACAAACTTTGTGGGTTTAGCATAGTATATTGCTCCAGTGTCCTCCTTCAAGAGGGGGCTTCGTTCTTCAAGCATGGACTCACAGAGGCCTCCAAATAGAGAAAGCATTAGGCAGTAATATGGAGGTATATACAAGTGAGAAAACACTACATTACTGTATCCCAGGGGAAGACAGATGCTCAGTTACATGGTGCACCTGAAGCAGCCTGCTCCCAGGGGACTGTTGTAAGAAGGAATTAAGTAGAGGATTTCTAAATGCAGAGAACAAGTGTGGCTGGAAAGAAGTGGCATGTTGCAGCTATCTCGTGCAGCCCGAGGGAGCTGCCACCTCCCCTGCCTGTCCTTACCAGCCCAACCGAAAGCTGGAAAGCCACCAAGGTGACCAAGTGTCATGGTGACAGGGTGCACACCTGGAGGGCTGGGCCCAGAACCTGACAGACATTGGCTCTGGGTTTCTGGACTGGAGTTGAAGGAGTGCCCCTTCCCCACCTGTTACACATACCTGCAGGTTCATTTGTTCATCAGCTAACAGGCATGGAATGAGGGCAGGGACATTAGGACACAACCACTTGATGCCTGGTCTTCAGAAGTGCCAGGTGTTCACAGGTGCCCTCTACAGCTGGTGGAAACCCCAGGCCCTTTGCACTCAGGAAGACCTGGGCAGTGAACAACAGGAGCACAGCAGATCCTCAGGAAGGTTTTTGCATGTAGGAGTTCCTTCTGTGTCATCGACTGGTGGCAGGCAAGGGCTGGACCTCTGAAGCAGAGGTTATACATATGTCTTCTCTTGCTGGTAGTTGAGAGGGTCCAGCAGGTATGAGAGAGGACTGCAGTCTGAAAGTGTTACTTTTCCCAAGAAGCACACTTTATACAGTCAGAAGATATGTGCTAAAAACTATTTGACCCTGGATACCGTTGCAGCTGAACACTTCATGCATTGGGTTCCTGAGCACTCCAGATACAAACGAGAACACGAGGCACTTCTAAAATTGCATCCCCATAGGACACTATTTAGGAATGCAAAGGATGGTCCTACATGAAAGTTCAAACTAAAGCAAACCAAGTACACTGAACTATATAGACTGTACTCTAAAATAATTGGCTTTAAATATGTTTACACAACATGTAAACATTTAAGATATATTGTGAACACTTACAAAAAGCTGACTTAAGTTCTGGTACTCAAACCTTCGTAAAATAACCAAACAGTGGTTTGGGTTTCTAGTTTATGAATGTCACACTACATACCCAGGGAGTAATCTTTCCTGTTACCTGTATAAACGAACTCCTGTTATTTACATAAACAGCTCTCAATCCTACAAATATTTATAATGAAACTCACACACAAAGTTAAACTCATTGATGTCAGCTGGTGAGACTCGCTGTTTCTGAAGAGCTTGATTAATGAGTTGTCTGCAAAAGACAAAGCATATATAAAGTAAGCAACTTTGTATTTTGTTCACTGATTCATAGGTAGAGAAATGACACTTGAATGAGTATCAACCAGGTGCCATTTGAGTTCACGCTGTTATGAATAAGGAAAGCCCCACTTTCAACTGGAGTTTTTATAAAGTGCAGTTTGAGAACGCACACTGGAGCTGCCTGCTTCATTTATGGTGGTAATGCCTGCCTTTTACATTGCCTTCAGAACAAACAAGGTTTTCCAACTATGTTTCCTGGTACAACCTATCCTCAGTAAACACAAAATTTAAACAAATTAGTTTTCTATTTAATATTTCAACACAAGAGCTCAAAATTTGTTTGCCTGAATAATATGTACCAAACTTAATGAGCACTGTGTTTAGCTGTGATTTTTCTGTTGCTACCATACACCATAGTCTGGGACACAGCTTGACATAAATCCGGAGGGTTAGGTTCCAGAAAAGGAGCATTTTAACAGCAAGCAAATTGCTCCTCTTTATGTAAAACAGTTCCCTCTTGTGGATGTTCTGTGCACAGTATCTCACAGAAAGCATTTAAAATATGCATCCAACCTCTATCTTTGCAATTAAAAAACAAGACCTCCACTCCGCGATGATCTCAACACACAGGACAATCTTCTTGCTAGGAATTACACAGACAGGTAAGGAAAAACAAATTATCGTATTTTATCCAGATATAATTAAGCTGCAAAATCACTCATTATCAATAATAATTTAATTCATTGCAATAACCACAACAAAGCTAAAGAAAAGTTGCATAACTGTACCTGCATGAGTCTAGCATAAATCACAGTAGTTTTGTTTGCTTCTTTGTTAGTTGCATTTATATGAGAAAACCTTCTTCACTTTACATAAAGAAACCTATGATTAAAAAAGAAGGAAAGCATACACTGTGTAAAGAAAGGAGACAATAACAGCAAAATAGTAAGGATTTCCAAGGGTCCCTGAACTAAATACTGAAGACAGAGAAATTCCTTAGAATGACAAAATTTTCATTAAAACTGTCCACACAATTAAGTGGCACAGCTTTACTGGTGATACAATATTGGGTCAGGGCTTAATTTGGCATGATGGTTCAAACAACACATGGATGCTGTAACCAGGTAAGATATATAGGTTCCCTAAATTATGACTACATTACACAAATAATATATATATATATATATATATATATATATAGTTAAGAAATTAGATGTGAGAGACTGAACACACAGACTGAACACATTCCCCAGTTTCACTGATAGGCATCTGGTCTAGCTCAGTCTGGGGAAATGATGGAAAGCAATTGCATGTTATTAGCATGTTTTTGTCTTGAGGGAAATAAAATAAACAAATTATATATATATATATATATATATTAAAAAAAAAAAAAAAAAAAAAAGGATAGAAACTTCTGATAGAATCCAGTATACCATAAACTTGTTTACCACAATTTGTTCAATGATAATATTTGGAACCTTCAAATTTGATTAAAGGTACAGCATGAATGTTGTAAAAACAACTTAAGGTTTTTACTTTTTACTTTTCCAGGGTAAAAATTTCCTAATTCCAACAGCGAGGTATTTATTTATTCTCTGCCACACCAGACTTTGGGTTGCTATCTGAACAATCCCTTCTAAGATGCACTGTTGATACCTTCTGTGATAGTTTAACCAGCCTAAATAATTACTATTTGTGACCTCCTTCTTTATGTTTTTGTTGTCACAACAGAACATACTGTTAGCTTTTATATAACTCGAGTAGTTGTGGCAGAGGAACAACTTACACAAGGAAGTACAATAAAATAATAATAAAAATTGTTTACTTCTCAATGAGCTAGATCTGCATTATTGAGCTCAGTGGGACATTTGTTTTTGACCACAATGTTACAGACACATTATCAGCCAGACTTTGCATATAGCCACAGATGTCCTGCATAATTAACTCTGAGCATTGCTTTAATAATATTCCTAGTTTGTCTTGAGACGGGTGAAAAATAACAGATTTCTAGTGATTAGACAGGTATAG